TATGGGTGTGAAGAGGCACTCCGAGAGATTAAGGAGTACCTCAGGGTACTCCCGACCCTTTCTGTTCTGGCGGGGGGGAGAAATGTTGTTCCTTTACTTGGCAGTCTCGAAGTTCGTTGTCAATAGTGTACTGGTCCACAAGTATAAGGACGAACAGAAACCAGTATATTATGTAAGCAAATCTCTATTGGACTTGGAAAAAAGGAACCTGCCCTTGGAGAAGTTAGCATTGGCCCTGATTACGGCCGCAAGAAAGCTAAGACATTACTTTCAAGCACACCCAATCACCGTCTTGACATGTCAGCCCTTGAAGGCAATCCTGAGAAGGGTAGACCTATCCAGAAAGGTAGCCAAATGGGCAGTGGAAATGGGGGAACATGAAGTTCACTTCAAACCTCGCACTGCCGTAAAGGGGCAGGTAGTGACAGATTTCATAGTGAAATTTTCCATGGAGCCTCCTCCCTTTGAGGAGTCTCCCCTCCTTGGGCAGGGACCCTCAGTGGGCGAAAAAGAGCTTTCTTGGAACCTATGCATGGATGGGTCCTCCAACAAAAAGGGTTTTGGAATTTGGGTACTACTAGTCTCCCCAGACGAAGTGGTCACGGAACAAGCTATCCGGCTAGGTTTTAAGACATCAAACAATAAAGCAGAGTATGAGGCCCTCTTTTTTGGGCTCAAACTTGATGATTTAGTAGGGGCTATAGAGCTGACCGTCCATTGCAATTCCATGTTAGTGGTCAACCAAGTGAACGGAGAGTTTGAGACGAGGGACTCCAGAATGAAAGCTTACCACCATGGAACAATGTCTCTACTCCACAAGTTCAAGAAAGTTAAGGTCAAGCAAGTCCTTCGAGATAAAAATGCTCATGCCAACGCCTTGGCATGTCTGGCCTCGGCGTTGGATTCCAATATGACACGAAGGATCACAATGGAGTACCTTTCCAACTCCAGCATAGATGGAGTCCCTAGAGTAGCCACCATCCAGAAAGGAGATATACCCCTTAGTTGGATTGATCCACTACTCAAGTTCCTTCTCTCCAATGAGCTCCCCGAATGTCCCAAATAGGCTAGGAAGATAAGATTAAAGGCGCTAAGGTTCTGGACCTCTCCAGATCAGAAGTTGTACTGAAAGTCATTCTTTGGACCGTATCTGCTTTGCGTCCAAGAAGACAAAAGTTGAGCCACTCCTGTATGAGGTACATAAGGGTATATGTGGGGGGCACTCAGGAGGACGGTCCATGGCCCATCATATCATATCCCAAGGGTACTTGCACCCTTTAACAAGTCCATGGTCATTCGCTCAGTGAGGACTCAATCTGGTTGGACCCCTCCCAAAAGCTCCTAGAGACAAGAAGTTTCTGATAGTAGGAACCGACTATTTTATAAAATGGGTTCAGGTAGAGCCCTTGACTCATATCAAGGAAATGGACACCAAGAAGTTCATATGGAGGAACATAGTGACGAGATTTGCGGTCAACCGTGCCCTTGCATCGAACAATGGAACCCAATTTAACAACGAACCATTTAAGTCTTTTTGTGAGCATCTTGAAATCCAGAACTACTACTCCACCCCCCGCATATCCGCAAGCCAACGGACAGGCGGAATCCTCCAACAACACTATCATTAACTGGATCAAGAAATGATTAGAGAAAGCTAAGGAAAAGTGGGTGGACGAACTTTTGAACATCCTGTGGGCATACAGGACCACCCCTCAAAAATCAGCAGGAGAAATGCCTTATGCTCTCGCGTATAGAGTGGAGACAGTTATCTTATTGGAGGTAGGCCTCCCTACCATAAGAACACAACCCTTCGATACCGAGGACAACGATCACCAACTCAGCTTAGATAGGGGCCTCTTGAAGGAGAGAAAGAAAGTGGTCGCCTTGAGATTGGTTAAGTATCAGAAGGGGGTGTCCAGGCTCTATAACAATAGGGTCAAACCTCTAGAATCCCAGATAGACAATCTAGTGCTCAAGAGGGCGGTGACAAACACCCGAGATCCAACAGATGAAAAAATGGGTCCTAACTGGGAAGGCCCATACAAAGTCACGTTAGTTGGAGGCTCCGAGTCATATAAGCTAGAAGACATGGTAGGAAATGCTATAATATAACCTTGGAATGTGATGAATTTGAAGAAATACTAATATTGATGAATGAGAGTTCATTGTTATGTTGTGTTATCCTGGAAAGGGCATTTCCCTAAGGGCAGAGTCTGGGGAACTCCTGCCTCCAAATAAAGAATATGAGCATGCCTCTTGGAAAGGGCATAGCCCTAGAGGTAGAGTCTAAGGGACTCCTGCTTCCAAATAACGAATAGGAGTATGCCTCCTGGAAAGGGTATGGCCCTAAAGGCAGAGTCTCAGAGACTCCTGCCTCCAAACAAAGAATAGAAGCATGCCCCCTAAAAATGGCATGGCCCTGGGAGCAGTCTCGGGGACCCCAACCTTCAACTAAATAATAGGAGCATGCCTCCTGAATGGAAAATGACCCTGAGAAAGGGTACTCATTGGGTGTATTGCTTGAAAGGACTAACCCTTGCACTAAGACATTGGCATCTGCTTGAACAAGGACATGGGTGAAGTCTTATGATCGACTAATATGGAACCCAATGCCATCTCCTTGGATCGACCCATAAGGAAGATAAAGCTAATAGGAGTGAAAATCTAAAAATGTCCCTCGGTGCCCTAGGCGTAAAAAACCCTCATGGCGTTCGCGCATGGAACCTCGTCAGAACCTTCCATTTCTAGCACGTACCCTCGACACTGATGTTCTAAAATAATGAAGCTCTTTGGCCTCGAGGGTCAACACTTCAAAATTTTGGGAGTTTCAGATTTAGAATTTCGGAGTTAGAAGTTAGAGTTGGAAGCCACAAGTACGCAAAGACAAAGAAAAGAAAACTAATATATGAAGCAAAGACATATTTCATTCAAAATAAAAGAGGGCTTTGCATTCCCCAAGCTACAGAAAAGAAGAAAAATTACAAGGGAACTAAAAACCTAAGTCTAGGCAGTTGGAAGAGGAGGGCTGACCACTTCGCCCCCGGCGTCTTCGCCAGCATCCCCAAATAGCTCTTCAATACTTGGGGAGGAGGAGTCAGCATTGGCAACATCGATCTGAGAAGCCAGAGCAGGAGCAACCGGTGCAGCAGTAGCAGCAAGGACTAGAGGAGCAGGGACAGTGCCGACTCAGGGGTAGAAGGAGCAACCTCCGAGAGGACAGTGGCATTTGCGACTGAGGCCACAACTTGGGAGAGCTCCACTGAGCTTGACACTTGCGCATTTGTTTCATCTTCAGCAGTGATCTCGGCCGTAACCTACAGCATCTCCTCTGACATAACATATTCATGTATAAGAAACAAAGGGGATTCAAAAGGGACCCCTACGCCCTAGAGTGTCTCGTCTCAGCCCCTCTTGAAAAATTCCCTTTTGTTCTCCTCTAGGGCAAGCACGATGTCATCAGCATAGCCATCAACAATCTCCTATTCGGTCTTCTTGTTCTCCTCCATTTGTGCCCTGACCCCTGTTTAGCACTTGAGTAAGAGTCATACGAGACAGAGCGGGTTGCCAGTGATGGTTGTGCCTGTGCCCTTTGGAATTGGAAGGAGAAAATACACTTTGAAAGTCCTATGCCTTTCAAGAAACGAGTCCAGCTGCAAGGAGAAATAGATTGATTTAGTGAAGTTTGGCATCTGTTCTTTTGAACGAATCCGGTGATAGTCCTTCCTTGGCTTATACTTGAGATTGGTTTGGTCGAGGTTGAGATTTTCTTGGTCTTCTTTTCTTTGTACCCATAGATCGGAGAATGTGAAAAGCTTTCTCTATCCGCTAGGTGCATCTCTTCCTTAACTCTTGTTGAGTAAGATGTTCTTCTTCTCTTATGAAAGCCACATCTTTTTCTTTTTTGACTTCTTTCTTCCAGTAGACGGACTCTCTTGCTCTGTTCCCTTTCTCTCTTTTGTCGAGTCTGCCTTATTCCTTATTTTGAGGGCTTTGTTTATTAACTTGCTTAATGCATAATGGATCAAGAGAAAACTATTAAAGTGTTTGCATGCTTCCTTTAAGCTTGCTTTGGTACGGGACTACTTTAATTCATCAATAAGACTTTCGAAACAGAACTCTATAACTTGGTGCTGGCCTACCAGACTACTACTAGCTTGAATTCGCTCAGTAGAGTACTGGCTTCCTTGCCTTAATGAATGAGCTTTCAGTGCGTGCTTGGTGCTTTCTTTATAAAATAGCATACTTTTAAATAAAACAACTAGCTTACATCAGCCTCCTTCTGACCCTTGTTTACTGGATGAATAGTTTCTAAAGAGAATACCAGAGAATAAGAACGATAATGAAAGAGGTTCCTCTGTCGGATGGTTAGCCTTAATTGCTAGCTCCCTCTCGCCTTGCTTTCTAATCACCACTAGCTTGAATGAGGATACTCTTTCTGAACTACTAGCTTTCTTAACTCCCTTTCTTAGTGGGTTAGGGCAGTCTGGCTTATGGATCGGGAGCTAACGCTTCTTTGCTTGCCCTACGGGACTCTTTTTGCTTTCTATATGGCCGTCACGGTCTGTATTGATTCTATTTCATACTTGATAAAGACAACTAGCATTAAAGAGCTTAGTAGTCGTCTCCCGCTAGTCTGGTCTCCCTTTCTTTTAAGTTTTAGGATCTTCTTAAAGAGCCATACCAAAGTCTTACAGTATTCTTAATACTATTTTGTTTGAACTAAACAACTATAAGTACTTCCTTGCTTTGGTAAGGTATGGGAGCAGAAGGTTATTCTTTTCTTGATGGAATCCCGGAGAATCACAACTAGACACGAGAACCAGTGCTAGCCTTACCTCCATAGATATTTATCTGCAATCTCGATTTTGATGATTCAACTTATCTTTGCGAGCTAGCCCGGTAACTAGATTGACTCTCCCCAAGCAAGAGTTTCCTATGTAGTTGGAAGGGGGCTGGTGGCTAAGCTTGCCTCAACTCAACGGGAACCACAACTGACAAACCGGTGATAAACATGGCCTGTCACACACTTGGCGGTGGATTAGCCCCGACCAGTCGATGTTCCTACGCAAGTCTGGTTGTGTCTCGGGTAGGTAAGGTTCAAGTAGTAATGTAGTAAGGAGCCGGCATAAGGTTTTTGTTGTGATATTCCATCTGTGAGTTAACGAGGAAGAGTGGTGGTCGGATGAACAGAATGTCCAAGGAAGGAGAACTGTCCAAGCCTCGTAGGCCCCCTTAGAGGACACAAGGGATTTCTCTTTCGAAATAACCCTCTGTGCTTCCTCCATGATCCTTTGATACTCAAGGGCCACCTTCTTCCACCCTCAACCTAGTCAAACCGAACCATTGAACTCTGAAAGAAGGGAGGAGAATGAGTTAAAATGGTATACCCAAGTGGAGGTTCCCCTTGGTTTTTCCAACAAAAAGATTTAGCTACTCATGCTTAAAATGAAATTGACAATGTAATGAGAATGCATTGCAAATATATGAAGTCCTAGAGTAACTAGATACAAGAAAACATAAGCTATTGCATACCCATTTGAAAACTAAGAAAATGAAGAACCTTGATGCCTTAATGGTGAAAGCTTTAAAAGAGCATTAAAATTGCATTGAACTTGAAGCAAAACAACATTAATGACATTAAATGAAATCCTAAAGATTCATATATGAGATTACAAGATAATGTATTGAAGAAAAAGTAAAAATCTCAATTTATCTCTCTAGAACACTATTCATCTTCTTCTCCAGACTCTCGCTCTCTCTATATCTCTGTATCTTTTAGAATCCTTAACAACGGAGTCATTTTCCCCCTAAAAATGTGCTTGGAGTCTCCTCTCAGCTGAGTGATGTGATTTCCATCCATAGGGGCTGCATTGTGCAACTAGGACCAGCCCCCATTCTTCTCTCTGCCAAGCTTCTTTTCTCTCCCCTCATTAATGCAAAAGCCAACAGAGTCCATGTAGAGGTGAGGGGAAGCTCCTAGACGTGCAGGGGATGTCAGGGGGTCTATTAGAGAAGTGTAAGTATGGCCCCCAAGCTGCAAAGTTGGGTTACAGGCTGTCTGGGAAGTTTAGCAAAAACCTTCTAGAAGGTCGACATAAAACCTTTCGGAAGGTTTGTGCAGGAACAGTTAAATGAAAGGGTCAGCAGGCAAAACCTTCCGAAAGGTTCATTCCAGCAAACAAAACCTTCTGGAAGGTTTCACTCCAGTAGGCAAAACCTTCCAGAAGGTTCATTCCAGTAAACAAAACCTTCCAAAAGGTTTCACTCTAGTAGGCAAAACCTTCCAGAAGGTTCATTCCAATGGGCAAAACCTTCCAGAAGGTTCATTCCAATGGACAAAACCTTCCAGAAGGTTTTGGCAATGAAAAGGAAATCCAAGGCAATACCTTCTGAAATGTTTTTACCCAAACCTTCTGGAAGGTGTTCAATCCAATTCCATTTTCTTGGTTTCTTCTCCCTCCAAACCTTCCTTTAAGCTACCCCCTCTTCTTTTTTTGACTTCAACCACTTCAATGGGGGTATAACTCATACCATTTACATTGTTTTACCTGCATTCACACAAAATTCCATCAAAACAAAAGGTAAGCACATTTCTCCCCAAATTCATGACTATAAACAAGTACAAAAGGCATATTAGCACACAATATATGTCATGTTTTTGTGCTAATCACACTCCCTAACTTGAGTTTTGCTAGTACCTAGCAAACATTATTTCCAAGCATAGGTAAAAAATTAAAACAAAACTCATCCATTCATACAAGTAAAAATCATAACTCAAGATCCACAAATCACATTGCAATTAAGGAAATAGCTTGGGCACGAATGTAAATGTAACAAATGTGGTGTTTCCATTGATCACTTCAAAAATTTCTTTACAATGTGTTCAAGTCCCAAAACAAAACAGCCAACCTAATGACACTTCTACTGGCCGATACGGGGAAACCCTAGCTGTGTACAACCAAAAACTCAAAATAAAAGCCAAAAAATCCCCCTAATCATCATCATCCCTATCGAAAACATCCTCGTCCTCGGACTCGGACTCGGACTCTAACTCTTCCTCGTCATCATCAACATCTCCCACCTTCACAATCATAGAAGGCACGGGAACGGAAGCGGAGGGACCAGCTAAAGGCTGTGGTGGTGGTCCTCCGAGAATAGGCCTTCCCAGGAAGGTATGCTAGAATAGCTGTATCAACATCTCAGACATCCTATACACAGTTGACTCTATAGCATCCATGCGCTGCTACATGGTGTGAGCCAGAGTAGGTGCAGGTGGTGGGGGTGCTAAAGAAGATGCGCCAGCATCTGACGGCTGTGACCTCGGGGTCCTATCTCTCTCTCTCCTAGTCCTAGCAGCTCTCTTGCTGCTGCTAGACTTCCCAATTGCTCTAGTGTCTGGGGCACGGAAAACATCTTGGGCATAGTGTTTTACCTTAGCCTAATCACAGAGACGGGTGACTAAATTGCCAAAAGAAATATTTGCCTTTGGCTTTGCAGCCTGGGCAAACTCTCTCATCTCCAACCAAATGTAATATGCCACGTCAATGGCAACTCTCATCATAAAGGCAAGCAGTAATGCGAGCTTCTCAATGTTCGGGTTCTTCTCCAAACCCTGAGGCATCATATTATAATGGAGGACTTTATTCATGACCCCGTATGCATGCTTGAGGCCCCCGACCAACGTTGTTCCTGTGAACGTGGTCGGGTCCTCATAGGTGAGGGCCACATAGTCCTTGAGAGTCATACCCTTTTCCACATTGTGTGGGTAGACCTCAGTGGTCGGGGGAGGTCTCACGTACCCCATCGTTGTGGCTATTGAGTTCGGGGTCACCTCAATTGCTTTGCCCCTCACAACCGTCTTTAGCTTACTCCCATTGTCACCAAAAACAACCAACTTCTAATAAAACTCACGATCCATCCCTAAATTGTACCCCTTGACCTCCTCAAACCATAAATTCAACCCCGATTGTTTAATAATTTTCACCACCTCGTTCCTAGGCCCCAACGAAACTCTATCCACATAACGTTCACACGTCACGCCCTTTTCCTCGATACATTGCTTATGGGCGTCATGTCTTGCCTTCGTCCTCCGCTCCGCCTTATCTTGGGAGCTAGGACCCTCACCGGTCCTCTTCTTGGATGTGGAGGCAGAGGGGGTGAAGAAGCACTGGGGCCAGTGTTCTTGGTCCGGGCCATTAGCATCAACAGTGCCCCTAACCCAAGAGCCACCAAAAACAACCTCCACACACTCTCAATGGCATCAACTACCTCCATAGACATCACTCTTGTGCGAGCCATCACCAAGAAGTGGAAGAGATTGGAGAAGATTAAAGAGAAATTCAGAATTTTAGGGGAAATGGAATTCTAGGGTTTGCTTGAAAAACACTTGGTTTTTTCGGATAAAACACCCTAAAAGTAAACCTAAATCAAGAGAAATTAAGAATTTTGAGAATTGGGGGAAGCAATTTGAAGGTTAGAAGAGAGTAGAAGGGGAGGCGAGGGTTTGAGGGCAAGAGATGGATTGGAAATGTGAAAAGTTTTCCAAACTTTTCAACTTTAAAACCCTCGTTTTTAATTTTCTTGGCAAAACCTTCCGAAAGATCGATCAAAATCTTCTGGAAGGTTTTGCTTGCTGCCTTTGTTTAAAAACATTCAGTAGGTAAAACCTTCCGGAAGGTTTTGCTTACTACCTTTGTTTTAAAAAAAAATCAATAGGTAAAACCTTCCAGAAGGTCGATCAAAACCTTCTGGAAGGTTTTGCCTTTGCTGCAAAACCAATCCTTTATTCAAAAATTCACACCATCCTTACTCAATTCCAACACATCTTACACCCTTTCTAAGATGCCTATCCTACCAAGGACTTGAAGCACACTTATGAACCACAATTGGCAAATCATGCCCAAAGTTATTTCTAAAATTCTAACATAATTTAAGATTTTGATGTTTTCAACGTACAGGGCATGCATTTCTACTTTAAACTACCAAAATGAACACTGAAAATGCAAATCACATGATTAAAAACATCGGCATTCCTAATTCATATTAAATATCAAAAACTTGAGCAATATTCCATCATTCTTACAAGCATGGAGATTTTTAACAAATTTCTCAAATGATTGAACTAAGTGTACATGAGAAACACTATAGTCTTAGACACTAGTCTAAAGTATGCACCTACAAATTTATTTTTAACTCGTGTATGTGTGAATTAAACAAGTAATTTGAGCATTTACGCAACAGAATTCACATTCAAATAGCTAGACAAATTCAGTTTCAATGCAAAACTCACCAAGGGTCACTCCAAAACAATGAAATACACTCAAGTTATCTTGGTATGCACTCCATGTGTACATGTGAGATAGAATCTTGTGTACAAAACAAAGTGTGCTTACATGTAATCCAAAAATGAAGTTCATAAATGAAAATGAAGCGACCTTGGCATAGTCTCATGAACAAAATGCTAGGGCATTAGGCAGTAAGACTTAACTCATCGTTTCCTCTGAAATCATGCACCTCTCATGCTTCTCTAGTTCACTTTGGACTTTAAGGGTTGTAATGGGGCCTTGGGGTGATATTTATGAAATGAAGGATATAGGATAGCAAAGAGGGTTGTTCCGAGTGAGAGACTTTTATTTTATAAGAACACTTCCCTTTTCATGGGATTTTGATTCCCACACCATCACTACACCCTTTGTTTCTTTTCTTTCTTTTCCTTAACATTTTCTTTTTCTTTTGATCATTCTTTCATCTTCTCACCCCTTTTCTTCCTTTTCTTGAATTTTCATTCTCTTTTTTTTTTTTTCAACTCTTTGAGTTTCACGTTCATCATCCCTTGCTTGAATTTCCACACCACACTTCCTTCTTTTGCAATCACTCATTTTTGCATTAGGAACAACCAAGGTAAGGTAGATATTTTTCATTTTTCAGTGGCTTGGTTTAATGTGTGGCATAGAAGCAAATTTTCAACAAGGCTCAAACATGGCACTAGGGATAAATAACTTCTCAAGAAAAAGGGCAAAGGCTCAAAATATTCAAGGATGGCCTAAGATCACTTCTAGGTCCGCATGGAATGGCATTATACAATTAAGAAAAGTCAACCTACTATCCCAAATGCACCTAAGCAAAACAAGCACAATGAGACTATTAAACAAATTTGACATTGAAAAATTGTTCTTTGAGTCATTGTAAGTTCCCTCTTTGGCACTAAAGCTCCCATGGGTCTTTACTCATCTCCACTACTTATGTCAAGCTTAAAACATGAATCCAATCCATAAATTGTCGAAAT